GACTGTACTGGCCAGGGTTGTTTTATTCTCGAGGAGACAGATGAAGTTCAGCAACATGATTCACACATTTCATCTGCAGCGATGACCCGAGTTCACAGACGTTTATTGCATCTGACATGGTCTGTCCGAGAGGCCGTGACGCAGTGAAAATAAAGCAGCAGTGCTTTTACTATCAAAGCTAAATTTAGCCCTTTATACACTATTTTAAACGAGTCAAGCTCGTCCAGACTAAAATTCACTTATTGCTTTTATGCCAAATTGTTGCTCTTGGACGTCTCTGATGGCTTCAGGCGTGGGTTGAGGACAGAGGTATTGTTTTGTCAATTTGCACAACATCTGACCTTGTTTTAGCAACCGGGAGAGCTGCTAAAACAAGACGAGTTTAATTTAATATTTAGGCCATAGGTCTGCAGTCTGTGTCAGTTCGACTAATTCAGTGGCAACTATCACGCCGGGAAGGTTTCGTCTGCTGCGCGTAACTCCCGCTGGAGCTCTTATGAGTCAGAAATGCACCAACGGCAATCTGAACTTTCTTTTCTTCTGTTTTTATGAGACAAACATTTGACTGCATATGAATCATACAAGATTGTTTAGACTTTATTTAAATATGTTTTCTCACAACGTGCAAAGAAACTGATTCACACATTGCCATTTTGAACTCTGTAATTTCAAAATATTATATTTTGAAAGACTAAGAGGATGCATTCAGTTTTTTACTTTTTTCTTGTAGACAGTATATGCAATGACTCCACATTACCAAGATAAATGTCCAATGCCAGTGACTTGTAAGGAAAAGAAGAAATTGTACTGGCCAGGAATTGTTTTAAAATGAATGAAATACTTCATTTGTGTTTGTATTTTTTTAATCAACACAATTTTAGGCAATATAATAATTGAATACTTTGCAAAGTAAAATATATATATATATATATTTTTTACTTTATTTGTAATTGACTTTTTTTTATTAAAACAGCACAGTTATTATTATTTTTTTAATGTTATTTCTTTTCTTTTATTTCTTTTAAGTTTTCATTCACTTTAATATTTTATCTCTTATATTTAGACATATATGCATTGACCTCCAACTTAATTAAGACAGTGGCGCATTGACACTGCAATTAATCAGCAAATAAATGTTGTTGTATTGTGCGTCTTCATCTGATATTAGAAATCTATTATTGTGTTGCCATTTGGGATTTGGCATTGCGAACAATCAGTGTTTATTGCCGTGTCATCTACATGTTTGAGACAAGGATCGTTGAGATAGCAGTGCATAGTCACGTGCCTGTCCTTTTGGATTTAAGGTACTGCCAAACCCCATAAGACTTCATTTCCGTGTAAGTCGCGTGCCGAGCTCTGCGACATGCTTTCAAACAGGATTGAGGAGCAGATTTTCTAATATAGTGTCTGACTGGTAATATGTCATGAAGATATGTGGCCGTCCAACATCTGCTGGGCTGCTAGCAGAAGCTCTGCATCCTGTAATCTGCTCAGATCCCTTCTCTTCATATCGCAGATGCACATCGCTAGTTAAATAGAACTCTGATGTGTTGTCTGCTCTATATAAGCATAGAGAAAGTATTGCTAGCTTTAGGGGAATGATACACTTGAAATCTGTTCTTTATGCATCAGCACTTTGTGTTCTTATTCTGTTCTTGGTTTATTTGAGTGAATCGCATGAAAATGTGTCCAATTCTACCCCAAAATAAAAAAACAAAAATGTTTTATAATAAAGTGACAAATGCTTTCTTTTTTTTTGTTGTTGTGGTTTTTAAATCAGAACAGTATCAGGCAATGTAGTAAATAATACCATGATGAATACTTTGCCATTTAAATTGTTTGATTTTTTTTTTCAGTATTTAATCTCAGATTTTTTTTATATGATATAGCTTTTCTCCTTTCAAAATTTATTCAACATTCAGTTTTTTAGTTTAGTTTTAGATTAGTTTTAAAATGCTTTAAAATACTTGATTTTGTTTATTTATTTATTTTAAAAATCAGAATAATATCAGACTATATTCAGGTAAACACCACCACGATTAATACTTTCCAATATTATTTATTTGTTTGTTTGTTGTCTTTTTAAATTTTTTGAGCATTGATTTTTAACCTTTTCTACTTTCAAAACTCATTAAGTTTCAGCTTTAAAATACTTGATTTTTAATTGATTTTTCTTGTCAGCACAGCGGTAAATAATGCCACAATGAATACTTTGAGATTTAAATATTTTTTTATTTTATTTCCGGGATTACATATATAATATTATAATTATAGACTAAATTCTCTTTCTTTCTTTTGATTTTTGGGGTGAATTTGGTTTTCCAAAAATGTATTCGGTTTAGAAATGTTTGTGTTTTATAATGCATAGGCAAATCTTGAAAAACAAGTCAATGAAACTGCATATTTTAATTAGGCAGCGCTAATTTACATATGCTGAATCGCATAACATGCATGTATACTGTACATCCCTGTAAAAAACACAAGCATAACAGCAACATGGTGTTAATTAGAAAAAGTTAATTATGTCTCATTACATTTACAATGGTGACCCAATCCGTGGCCTGCTGTGGTGCTGAGAAGCATCTCTTATGAAAATTAAAACATTTCTAATGAAATAATGAAGCACAGAAATTAGCCCCCACAAAAGAGAGCTTTTTTAATTACTAGATAATTTTACTTATATGAACTTAAATGAAACTAATTATGTACACATTTCCCAATAACATTTCCATTTTATCGTAGCTTAATAAGACCGTGATCAAAAGTATATTGCAGCTCAATTTTGAACCCATTTGTCAGTTTTTATGTCATTTTCTCAACCACAAACAGTGAGCTCTTATCATTACATTTTTCTGTGTATAGTGTTGTTTGTCTGCGTTTGGAAGTTGCATTACTAATTGTTAATTTCTTCAAAAATGTTGCAGAAGAATTGTCTTCCTGATGAATTAACTGCTGGGAGAGAGTCATTAGGAGTGCCTTCAGACATAAACTGTTCTAATTTTAATTGTTTTATTATTTGAGGGCATTTAAGCCTTAACTAGGGGGGGTTTGAACCCCCAAATCCAAACAGCCATCATTTGCAAACAGCAGTTGTGTTGTGCTGGTCAGTGTCAAACATGCATGAAGAAGTTTACTTTGCGTGCTTTAAAAACGCATGCACAATACAACTGTGGTGCTTCAGTGGAATCTAATGAGACAAAATCACAGCATTTGGGTTTGTTCTTATTCTGGCGCTCACAGATGTGTCCAGTGTACACTCTGCCGTCGTCATGACAACCAGTGCATGTGTTAAGAGAATTCTGTTTCAAATGTAACATTCTGTGTGTGATACATTGTTTCCTGTGATTGGGATTCCATTGTGAATATTGAGGTTGTGTGATGTGTTGTAGCCTGTATGTCAGTGTAACCAGACCACAGTATGTCGGGAGGGTAAACAAGTGTCCATAGTGAAAACCTGACAGTGAGGAACATCACGAAAGTAACTTTCCTTAACAGAATGATACTCTTAATGAGTATTTTGTTTCTTGTTTTAATAAATATTTTGATGTTTTTACTGGGGGAAAAAACTGCATAAGATATGAGGATTTTCAAGTATTTATCAGGTGTTTCTTGCATATATTTTGTCTTCTGGCAAATATCCATCCATCCATCCATCCATATCCATCCTTATTTTTTAGTGCTTTTTATTTGTAACATTAGAGTCCACTGTAAGTGAGTTGTGATGAAACCCAAGTGCAGTTTATTTATATCCAGGAGTGTACAGACTTGACTTGATCATACTTGGTTTGACAAAGAAACATGAAATGAACTTGAACATGAACTTGAACTTGAACCTCAACATAAAACATGACACTCACCAACAGCGGGTACAAGAAACAAAGCTAGACAAGGAACAATGGCAACATAAGGGCTATATAAATCACAAAAGGGGGTCACATGACATAATCCAACCAATGAGAGCACGACACAAACTAGAAAACCAATAGAAACAAGACACATGAGGGAACATGGAATCACACGACAAACCAGGAAACTAGACTAAGAGCATGAATACAAAGTAAAAGACATGAACACAATGAACATGAAACAAAACCCACGTTACAGTTTCCCTTCCTACATTACACTGTAAAAAAAATTCCGTAAAATTTACGGTCAAAAAACGGCAGCTGTGGTTGCCGGAATTTTACCGTAAAAAATACGGTAGCAACGTTTTAGTTCACTGTAAATTATACCATCTTTTTCACTTCCAAAAACGGTATACTACCGTAAAATTAATGTCCAATACAGTTTTTCACCGTATATAGTAGGGGAATTTACCGTTAACCATTTAACAGGTTTTTACTGTAGCATTTTTACAGTCTTTTACCGTTAAATTCACGGTCATTTTTTACAGTGTAGATAATATATAGTATCATTATAACATATTATTTTCTTTCTTTTGATTTTGACAAAAATAAGTGATTTTAACTGGTAAACAAGGCAAAGAAACTTGTTAGGAACTTTTTTTCAGTGTATTTATCTTGTTTTGTTTTTATTTTTGTCTTGCTTTAGATATAATCTATCTATCTATCTATCTATCTATGATATTACAAAAACAAGACAAAGAAACTTGTTAGGGACAGTATTTTTTTTTTCAGTGTTTTATTTATTATTTATTTGTTTGTTTTATTTCCACAAAAGTTAATATACAGTATAATTATAAAATATTTATTTACAAAAATAAGTGATTTTCACTGGTTTTAACTTGAAAAATTAATGTTATTGACCTTGCATTATTGGCAAACTATCTTCCTGTTTGCCACTGTAAAGCTGCTTTTGAGTGATTTACGTGAGTTTATGCATTTGTCAGATGCTTTGAATCCGAAGTGACTTAAAGTGTAGTGAATTCAGATTGTAATGCTAATGTGATATTTTTGCTTTTAAAAACTTTTAGTGCTGCAAATATCTTCCAGAGTCCGGCTGTGATGGTTCTGATGATGGTTTCATCTGTCTCTTCTCAGATAACCAGTCCATGGCTTCTCAGACGGCAGTAAGCATCCGCATCCTGGACGTGAACGACAACCCTCCTGAACTCGCCACTCCTTACGAGGCGTCGATCTGCGAGGATGCCAAACCTGGCCAGGTGAGATAAAGCCTCAGTCACATCAGTCTAATCAGAACTCACGCTCGCCAGACGCGCCTCGATACCATCGCATCTGCATCTGAAAGCGGCGGAAACGAGATCCGTTGTTTCGCACAAAAATCATCACTACTGTAGATTTGATATGATATCTGCGGTCAGAAGACACTGACTTAGTTGTTCCAGATGGCTTCTCGTGTTGATAAAGCTGTCAGCCGCGATACGGACCTGCGAGGGAAACGTTGTCATTTCTATGAAAAGCATATGTAATCTGACATCAGCCGGCTCCTCTCAGACAGCTGCGCTCGCCACTAATACATAACAATCACGGTGCGCATGGGAACATCAGGTGTGCGGTGTGATGAAGTGGTCAGATTCTAATTGCATTGTGGGACTGCCGCACTCAGCGTGGCCTCCCTGATTCGCTTTGACGGCAGTTTACAATGCCTAACAAGATTTGTTTTTCCAAAGCTCAATATCTCGTCTGATCCCGCTGGGCTAATGTAGTTTGGCTCAACTCACCAATTTCTCCTTCCTATTTGGCCGTGTCCTAAAAAGTGACCGGTCTGAGAGATACAGTGCTGTGACCTCGCAAGACCTCCGAACCCGGACCGAAACACTGGAGTCCAGCAGAACAATCAGTGTGTGTCAGATTTAGTACAGAGCCAATCGCTTTCCCGTTTTTTGTCAGAATAGTTTCATTATTGCTTTGCTCCTGCTTTGGACATTTTTCAATTGGAAAGAATGATCCGTCTGACATTTCCTCCCAAAGGCAATTTATAAACTCTAGTCGCGAAAAACAGCGCGATGGCAAGACAGCATTGCAGCGAACGCACCTGCAGTGCTTTGAGGCGGCTTGTTGCAGATCTTCGCTTTTGTTTACTCGTGGAATGGAGGAATACATGTTCAGCCCCAAAATGAGACTTCTGTCATCATTTATTTACCTACATGTCAAACTTTCTTTTGTGGAGCACAAAAAGTGAATTTTTGTAGAGATAAAGCTCTGCTCCAAACCTGGTGAGCTGCCTAGCAAACTGGCACACAAATCTCTCCATGAAAACCTGGCCAATATTTGGTAATATATATTAAAATAAAATAAAATAAAATAAAATAAAATAAAATAATTGTATTAATAAATACATAGATAAATATTATTTATAATCAGCATTTCAGATTTTTTTATATTTTATACTTTTTTATATTTATTAAATTTATGTATATTTATTTGATATTTTTGAACTTCGTGTTCATTTGAAATGTTAGCATATATTATATATTGTTCATAATTAGCATTTCATCTTAACTTATTAATTTTGTCAATATTTCATTTTATTCACTTCTTGTTGATTTAAAATGTTTAATTTTAATATATAATATAATTGGTAATATAAAATCAGTAATAATAATTCAACATTTCATCTTATTTATTAACTTCTTGTTGATTTTAAATTTAACAAATATTAATATATACTATAAAAGGAAATGAAAGAACTATTAATGATATATCAAGAGAAAGCTGAAAGGTATCCTGCATTTCTAGGGCACTAGGTGCTTTGAGACAGAGACAGTTTGACTAGGTTTTGAAACAGAGCTTCAATGGCTCTTAGGATGTACACTACACTAAATGATGCTCTGAAGAAAACATCAAGTAGGTTTTTCACTTCATATTGCCATTGACCATGAAAATCTATAGAATGCTATTCCATTTAAACAAATTGCATGTAGCATGTAGAATAATGTCTGCTAATGCAGATACTTGACATTAACCAGGTACTTCATTTGACTGTACCATGTCTTTTTATTCAAGATATGATGAAATGCGGCCTTTAACATTTGCTTTTCAGTGGCATTAGTCACAATGTGAGATAAGTGACATATGCATGATTAAGATTATAGAAAACAATGTAAACATGCAAGTTAATTAATGGGGAAAAGAGGCTCAAAGAAAATAAGAAAAAGAAAGAAAACACATTTTGCTCAAAGAATATGATTTTTTTAAATAATGACATTATTGTCATGAAAATGATGTGCTTTATCACCCCAATTCTTCTGTCTGACTAGAATTATTAGAATATTATAAGTTTTGTAGTTTTTTGTCCTTAAAGCTCTGTTTATTTGTTGATCCGCTGAACATGTTCATTCCTCTTTTCAAGCAGCCGTGAAACATACAGAGCAACAAAAGGTTTGTTTGCTTTTGGAGATGTCATGGAAAATTGTGTGCACTCCTCCTTTCTGTGTGTTTGCGTGCTGCTTCTCGAGGGTTTCGCTCCACAATAGAGGCGCTGAATGAGGTCTGTTACTGCTGGATTAAGGATTCTTAGAGATTGTTTTGTTGTAAAGAACTAGACTACATTTCTGGATGTGTGTAAGAAGAGCCTTTGTCATCTTCCGTTTTCATCCTTGGAGAAAAAAAAGAATGAATGTTGCTTTCTTTTGTAAATTATTTAACCATTAAATAACCACGTTTAGTTTGGAAGGCTAAAAAATATTTGATTTTATTCTCATGTGTGCTGTTAGTTTTCTCTTTTTGCTGAATTTTTGAAGCACCATTTCTTTGTGATTGTTTTAAACTCAACTTTAATGATTTCAATTAAACTATGAGATGTTTTATGCTAGAAACTAATATTAAGCAAAGAAATTATGATGCATACAAGCATACAGTAACTGTGATGCACAGATGAAAAAAATGGTTGTTCTAGTAAGTACATAATTGTGAATAATCGAAGTCACCTGTGACTCATTAAATTAACTACCTTTTTTTTCTGGATAAAACCCCAGAGATAAAGAATAATTTAATCAAATGAATATGAATGACAGCTGTGAAAATTAAGACTAAAGACTATTCAATTCAATTCAGTTCAAGTTTATTTGTATAGCGCTTTTCACGATACAAATCGTTGCAAAGCAACTTTACA